TACAAGCTTGAAAATCCATTTAACCTCAAGAAACTTAACCTACTTGAAGCAAAAAGTATTCGGCTTGTCCGAAAGCTCATTGATATATTGAAGCCGAAGTAGCATTTCGTAGCATCAGTCGGCTTTGAGGTAAGATCGTGGGCAAAAAGCGGAAGCGACCGCTAAATATGACAGCTTTTTGTTAATTTTTATAAATATACATTTTTCCGAGTTTAGAGAAGTGACATAACTTACCCAAAAATCCCAGTATCGCCAGGATTCCGAGGTAACGCATTGTTTACAGTTTCAAGCCTAGGAACAATGCAGTGAACGGTTCTTTTGACGAGTTTTATGTGGATGATCTGTGCTGCGCTCTTTATTGGTGTTACTCACGAGGCTAATCCGGGATCGAGAGTTCAAGAGCTCGATTTTGTTCCGCGCCGATTACTGTAAGTACCCGATTATCCGGGCGCGCTGCTGCCAATTTGTGCAAAACGTGTGCACCGAGCCAAGCGAGAACAGCAAATGTTCTCCGACGGTAAGTACGAAATTTTTATAAGCATGATTTTGTTAGCGGGGAGAGCGTGATTCATCAGATTTGCGAAGTGTAAGGGACGCAAGATTTGACGATGAGCTTTGTTGGTCATCGAAAAATTTTCGATTTAGCGCAGTTGTCAAGTAGCTGTTTCGGAACATCCATCCAAAACCCGAAAGTGCCACCAAGATTCTGAAAATTGTTAATTTCCTGTTTTTTTTGGGTTCCGCGTCTTCTTGAGCTCCGCAAGATTATTTTTGATTCGGAGTTGGAGCCTGGCCACGCCCTTTCTAAAAACCGGATGGAAGTGTGGTGACCTGGGGCGGCCAAATTTAATTTTCGGCGGGTTTGCGTTCGAAACATAACCCATTTCCGGTATTTTGGTCCGAAAAGTTCGGTCGTTCTTGGTTTTGCATATAGCCCTTTAAGCGACTTGGACTTGTAGTTCGGGAGTAGCAATATAAAAATTGCTGCTTCTAGACAACTCTAAACAAGGATGAAGACGTCAAAGACGAAAAAACCTCACACCACGACCATATTACCCACTTCCACCACCACCACCGAGATTACCTCTGATTATTTCACTCATCGACACTACCGAGCTTAGTTCAAAAGATTATGCCACTGATATTCCCCATCCATTCTATGGCGTTTCTGGCGATATTTATCAAGCTATCACCTACGAGGACCTGGATCTGTATGTGGCATCCAAGTATGACCCACTGGTTTGCAAGAAGGGGCCCGGCGATCAACAATTTGGAGATCCGTCTCAGTTGGCCGATTACAAATGGGATGGCACCTCGTTTCACACCTACCACCACGCCGATGCAACGAATATTGCGATATCGATGTTTGTGGTATGTGTAATTTTGAGAAATATAGATAAGTTTTCACTAAAAGAATTCAAATTAAATTAAAATTAATAATCAATTAATCAACCAAAATCTTAGTATATCTTTCCACCGCTCTATCGAATGGCGTTTCAAAAATCCCGACAAAAATAAGCGAAATGACCGAAAACTTTCAGATCCTTTGGCTGGGCGGGGGTAAGAGTAAACTTATACCCTCTTCTGTAATTTAGTAAGCCTTGTTAGAAGTATAAGCTAGGTGCATACGCGGTTCGCGGAGCACGGAAAGATTTTAGAACCGGATCCTTTCTTTTTCCCCTTAACAATCGCGTGTCTTGCGCGTTGCGTGTACATCGCGCCGCGCGACAAACGCAGAAGATCGCCAGCCAGGCTGGCGCTGCCTCGTATTCCCACAAAATCGAGTTTCATGTTTAGCTCGGCTTCATCGGGGCAGCCTTGGCGACAGTCTCGGGCTTATTGGTACTGAAAATCCAAAATCACGAGGATCGTTATGTTTTAGGATGATCGCCAAACGCAGGATGTCGGATTGTTAATTCCTTGGCGCGGTTTTACTATGGGAAATGCGTGTTTGAGTAAGTGTACTCTACGTTATTAACAGTGTACGTCACCCCGCGATAGCTAAATGTGTATATTTCGCTTGAAGTGTACCAGAAAGCTTGTCGTTTAGTTGGCAATGCCTAAAAGCGATGGATACCCGTTATCGGGAATAATGTTCCATGCCCTTTTATCCCCGTTGGAATTATACTAACTATCCATCGATGAGCTTATTGCAGCACGGGGTTTCGGGGATACGGTTTAGTAACTGATTACTTCGAGTACCAAGCCTAAATTAGATTCTTTGCTGTCTACGACGGTGGTATACATTACAAGAAAGTTGAGAAATTGTCGATATACTACATTGCTGTGCTTTGTTTATTATTTTAGGTTATTATGTGTCGACTATCGGCAACCAGTAGGTTTAATAAAGCTAAGCTCGCATGCCTGCCGCGATGGAAAACGGGCGAAAAACCGTGATGTGACGGGTTAAAGAGCCCGCAATCCCATTTCAATACTAACCTAACACATCACTCGTTTTTAGTCTCCGATCCTAAGAACGGGTATCTATGCTACACCAGTTTATCACTTTACTCCTGTGTACTACTGGCGAACATGCCGTTTTTACAAATCAGCTTTCCATAAAACGCTTTTCGACCTGGTTCCGGAATTCTGATGGCACTACAGGCCATAACATTGGCGTTGGATATCATTGCCTTTATCACAACTTGGAGAAAGGTAGAGTTTTTTTTATTAAGCCGATACCTCGAAATATCACCCTTCAGCAGCGCGTTTTTCGCTTTTTAGATGGAGGGCTCGCCTGCAAAAAAATAGAATTAAACATGCGGTTTGCGACTATGGTAAGCTTGTATCCGTTAATAAAAACGTTCGGTCTGGCTTGTGGCTACAAATTCTTTAATATTCGGCAAACAACTGGTTGGGCGCTTCGCCAACGAAATCGGTGACAGTACCAGCCAAGGTCTACCTACTTGGCGTATTCTGTGTATGAATTCATGCACTGTGCATTGATCAGGTATACATTCAGAAATTCAGGTTTTTAAAAGCTATCTTCCAGCTGCATCATCATTTTCTTCAACATGTCATATATCGACGTGAAATCCAAAAAACTTCCCATCGGCACCTCGCGATTGCTGAGGAGGCTCAAATATAGGGTGTAGTCGATTTTCCTGATTGCTTTTTTGTGCTGGGCCCTTCAGCCCGGCAATTTGTATTCGGAAGTAAATCATGAAACTGGTCGTAGTCTGTAATTACTTTCACAAAAATGCCCTCTGCCGTCAAGCGGCACTTATCATTTCACGACACGGTGGCACTTGTTGTGTCCGAAATAATTACCCCGCCTGCGCCCCGGAACGGGCATTTAATTCTGAAGGGAGCGATGGGGAGCCTGATAACTGGGCTAAGTCTAGACGGCAAAAATATAAATACATACCAATAAAAATATAAATACCATTAATTATTATGGGAGCACGGTATCCTACCGTTTTGGCTAGATGATTTTTGGATTAGAGACGTTACGCATACCGACTCGGCGTCGGGATCACATACAAATTAGGATACAAAGTACAAAATAAGCTAGATCAACAATTTTTTGCGCTTTTCTTCCTAATTTGCATGTTATCTGTCGGAATGCGTAAAATCTCTGCTTTGGCTCACCTAAAGGGCCCGGCAAGGCACGCAACAAATTTTCTGGCAACAGAAGACCTATGCACGGAAACGACACACATAACGAGCGCCACCTTTCTACAATATACGAACCATAATCGGCTATGTTATCGAAAATCAAGTCTAGGCGCTGCTGGTCGCTAAAGCACTAAGAATCATTTTAATGCAATTCTTTCAATTAGAATCCATTTCCAACAAAGTCACCTGTCGAGCAAAGCTGATTTTTCAAACTGCTCTAATTGAAAACCGCAGAATGGAAATATACATTTATTCTTAATCACCAGCGCCGCTAGCATTTTCTCCCGCGGTCACCGTGACGATTTCACGGTTCTTCTCTTTCCGTCGATTTCCGCATGTAAGACAATAACAGACGAACAGCATAATAAATGTATTATTAACGCATATTAATGAAGTGATACCCGGTGACGATGATGCTCGCGTGGTATCGATACGTTTTGGCAATATTCGCCGAAACGTTGTTACGCCCGAAGGTTAGCTGTTCGTGGGTGAGCCCGGCCAAGAGTTCGTCAAAGAAATACGAGAGATTCGAGAAGCCTAGCTTAAGGAAATTACAAGTGTATCACTCTGTTGCACGAACTCACCAGCATCATCAAAATCTGATTATGTGAGGCGACCAAGTTTCCTTTTTCTAGCATGCCCTAGAAAAACATATACGCGACGTGAAAAATTCATACCAGGTATTTCAGCCTCCAAAACGTTGCCAAGTTAAGGCCCAATGTGCCGGTTATGAATTCCCAGAACAACGGTGCCCAGCTGCTCCAAAGTTCGCGGGTGTAGGCGTTTTTTAGCGAGAAGTTGATGGTGATGGCAAAGTTGGTTGGATCGTGCCAAAGCCTCCCCAACAGTAATGTGCTCCCATATCGTTAACTAAATATAATTTAAAATTAGCTCTTATTTCTCGCTCTATATCTGTCTTTCTCGCTCTCTCTCTCCCTTCCTATAGCTCTTTCTTTTATTTTCTCGCTTTCTCTGTCTCGATCTCTGTTTCCATATCTCTCTGACTCGCTGTCTCTAGCCCTGCCTCTCTCGCTCTCTTTCGCGCTAAGAATTAAACAAATTCAAATCCAACCTACTTATTCCGATCATCACTTATATGATGACGATTGGAATGACGCATACGATAATCATATACATAATCGCCAAATACTTTTGCCAATCGATAAGCGTTGCCGCCCCCCCGAGCTAGAATAGCTCTAAACTTCCAGATTTTTCAAGGTACTCGATATACTAGGCTCTTTTACACACTAAAGTAAGATCTGTCTGTCTCATTGACGTCTCCGTCTCGCTTACTCGCTCTCTCTTGTTCTCGCGCTCTGGCTCTCTCGATTTCCTCACCAGTCAACCGCTAAGGCCATACAGGACCAAATGCATAGAATAATAAAGACTCATATCCAACGATGCTGTGTATCGTATTCAGGCCCATGCCAGTGTAGAAGATCCCTTCTTAGTCAGACACACAGTGCCAGCTAAAAGCTTGTCTATGGGAGCACATTTGCTCTCTTTCTCTCTCGCTCTCTCTCCGTCTTTCTCTCCTCCCCTCTCTCTCGCTCTGTCTGACAAAACCGTACGTCAATATACAAGCAAAGTCATAATCTTTTCGAAATCCCTGCGTAGAGTCGAAAACGCATGCCAACCCAAAGGCGAGCGCAACTTTTCCTCATGGCGGACTTCTTTTCTCGTAAAGGATTGTCGAGACCATGTTCATCGCAACGCCAACCAGCCCTGCCTGAAAAAAACCAAAATATTAACATCAATGCGGGAGACTACTCCAATTAAATTGAAACTTACCCGGAGACAATTCCCCATGTGCGCGGATCAGTTTGATCATCATAGCCCGCCTCGAATTCCGGCATTTGTTGGATTCTTACACGTTCCTCATCATCAATTTTGATGTCTCCACATCCTTGGCCCTCCGTGCATCCACTGCCGAGTTCTCCGTCCTCTGATACGTAGTAGCCAGAATATCCCGCATAGTCGTAAGGATACGATGGAGCCGAATAGTATTGAGAATCATCCGGAACTTGGCCGTATGAATTGCTATCTTCCGTTCCATAGTCCAAAGGGGC